CAAGGGCTACAAGAAAACACCGACGTTAAAGGACTTGGGGGAAGAGAATACTCCTCTCAGGAAATGGAAGCTTGGAACAGGTAAGTCAATACAGTCGAAGGACGAAGGACACTTGGAAGCAAGGGATTCAACACGCTCGCTGGTGCAGGTGGAAGACAGCATACGGGCGGATGAAAAACAACTGGTAGTGTACACACCTTCGAGCTGGGAGGTAGAAGAGAATATACGTGAATCAGATGATTATTCGCATTCCCAGTTTCCACACTCGTGGATGGAGGCCGACAAAGAGCTACAGCAGATGGTTGAGGCTTCACCGGTTATGTTGCCATCGGAACCACAGGAGGGTAGTTACAGAGAGTTAGCCAACACAATGGAATTACCGCGGACGCCAGTGAAGAAGTCTGTAGATCAGCTGTTAGACAAAGCGTTAGAAGCATATGAGTTGGAATTAGCGGGTCTCGACCCGTTCGTGGAGATGCCGCACTTGCACGTGGACTGCCAGGAAGGGCCTGAGGGTACGGGTGAGAAAGTAGCAGCTTTTCAACATTCATTAGAGGCTCCTGATACCATACACACGGAGGATATACAGCCCAAATCGTGGCCAAACGCTAAACAAGCGGCTCCAGACGTCCGGTACACTATTTCGGAAGATATCACCACCGATGCACTCATACACAACAGGAAGCGCCCAAGGAAGACGCCTTTAAAATTGCATCCTGCAACGGAAGAGACCATGCTTACTATTTGGGGAAGCTACACCTCAGCTGCGTGGGAAAGGAGGTTCCTCCCCCAGCAACACTGGCGGTATTATGGGTGTGGCATGAAGGCTTTTTACACGTCCAAGCCGACCGTATACGAGCAATTGTGCAGGACAAATGCGGCTGGAACATTCCAGCGGATGTGATTTAACCTTGAACAGACAGCTGCACAGATTACATTAGGGAGGGCCTCCCAACGGGTCCCACGAGGGGTTTGCTTCAGCAACCTCGTCGACCTATGCACATGTGTGAAGAGATCAATTAGGATTATTTAGTACTCGACGAGGACGCTGAGGGGTATAAGTACTTGTTGGCAGCACAAGATGGCTGCACGTTAAGAGCGTTTGGCGCCGCAGTGAAGGACGACGAGTATTCCGCGACAGAGCTATTAAGGTATTGTCATTTTTCCGATATTTCCAAAGTGTTCTAAATTCACTTTGATGGCTCCAATAGCCTTGTATTTGGTATGACTCATTTACTTGGACCTATTTGAGACGATAGTAGATGTAGGATATTATAAACTAAATTTGTTTTCCCGCCAATCTCCAAAATCCAATAAGTCTTTTCTTTTTTAACTTTTTTTCAGATGGAACTTTATTTATATTAGCAAATGTATTAACTTGACTTACGTTCCTATGTCTATCTACAAATTAGACATGTGGTCATGAACACTTAGTACTTCTAGTGAAAATTATTCAACAGAGAACAGCTAGAGGTACGTCCTGTGTGATCGAGGATATTCAGGCTCTTACCAAGAGGCAGTCCCGATGATTCTTACACAAACTACCACTGCTAAATCCTTACTGACTTAAATTTTATCTCAGTTTATATAACATAGTTTAAAACATATAAATATCCATCGAAGTTTACATATTTTTTATAGTTATTTAGTAGTTACCGGAGTGTACTGCTTCTAGACTGTCTAACAATTGCTTACTATCCAGCGACAGGACTGTAAGTATTCAATACTACCTCATAGTGGCTAATACTACCCTCAAGTTAGCTACACGCTAGTTACTATACCTAGACTTTATTAATTTTCCTATTTCTGAGCTATTACTATGGCTAAAGGAATTTCTAAAGGCAAGGGAGCCGCCAGTTCTAAGCCTGCTAAGCCTGTTGAGGTTCCTGAGGTTACTGGGGTCGTTGGCCCGTCTGGTACTGAGCCTGCCGTTGAAGCTGTAGTGGAAACCGTTTCTGAGCTTGGTTCTGAGGAAAACTCTGAGGAAGACTCGTCGGACCCTAAAGCCCTGGAAGTGGAGGTCCCAACTGCCGCGGAAAGGCTCGCCAGCGTCCGCGTGTCTCATAGTAGTGCAGCCGGGGCCTCAGTGTTAGCGTGCGGTGTGGGGACTAGTAGTACAGTGCTAGTGTATCTAAAGTATGGTGCATTCGAATGAATTTATTTATGATCTCACCCTCAGTTATATACTGATGGTGTTTGTACTAGTGTTCAACCACTTGGGTTGGCCAGGGTAAAAAGTCATATGATCAGTATGAGAAACTTTATGCAGAACACTTTAGCACTCGGATATAATTTCTAGAAATAAATATATCATATTCTCTGTTACCACACTCAGTCTCGGACCTCGGCTCTCGGCTAGCCGGTGGCCCGTATCCTATAAATAGAATAATCTGAGAAGAAGTCTCAAATTACTCTTACGTTCTCTCAGGCTGACCCACCTATACTTATATTAATTTGAGAACAAGTCCCAAATTACTCTCGGGCTGACGACGTACAACGTTATTAACGTATATAGAAATACGCCTCCTACTGTAGTCTCTCACTCAGCTCGCCATCTGACCGCGAAAAGTCAGATATTGGAAAGGCTATATCTCCTGAACAAGTGGAGGAATCGTCTCGAGATCGACGGTTTATTACTACTAAAAGTCAGCCCAATCCACCTATTAACAACGATGGTGGCGTTCCATTTCGTGAAATTTAATTGAATGCCTCGCCACTGAATGTTGGGGTGGAAGACGCAAATGTTGAGGACGCCATAACTCGACAACGAGTGGTTGGATCTTCTCAATCTCGACGCTAGCCGCTGCCGCAGCTTCTGACCCTTCGATCATATCCCACGGGGTCGATATTCTTCCTATACCGAAGAATTTATTTTATTCAGAGCCGGGTTTCAAACCTGGGACCCACTGGGTTACCAGCCAGCAGGGCTACCACTGAGCCAGTTACCGCTGGAGAAGTGGGTAAAACCTCAAACTCTAATCTCTATAGCTCGGACGCTACAATCGACCATCGTCTCGACAAACCTAACCCTGTCAGAGGCTATGATCGTATGGAAATCGATGAGTCTTACCACCCTCATAACATCGATCCACATTTACCATATAACCCTGGTAATCACGACTTTGGTAATCGCTATACCAGTACCTCACTAGAGAGTACCCACTCTAGCTCTGAAGACGCGGAAGTGAGAACCAGACAACATCGTCTCAGGCTATTACGTTCTGGTATGCAAGTCCTTGAGGACCGTCTATTGAATGACTTTGACCTTGACGATAAGAAAGCGGATAACATTCGCTATCTAATCGATAACAAGATAAAGGAGTTAGACTCAATCTTGGCACTAGCAGCCTGTAGCACTGAGCGTGAGCTTCGTGAACGCTTCGAACCAAGCTTTCTAAAGCAGCTAGGTAACGCGAAGGCTGAGGTCGATTTCTCTACTAATGAGAGTACAGTGGAGACACTGAAGGCCTTTGACCAACTTAAGGAGTATGCCAGCCTTAAGGATAAGCAGATGATGAATGCCTTTATTCATTTCTGTGAGTCAGAGGAATGGAAAACTATCTTGAAGGCCCATGAGCCCAACTGGAAAGCCCTACCCTGGCGCCAGTTGCGTGAGAATATACTCAACGCCTTCTTTGAAGATGCACGTGACCGTGAACTTCTAGTGTCTCGCAAGTCCTTTGCAAACGATACTACTATTCGAGGTGCTCTAGCTCATATGACACATATGAACACTCGGATCGGAGGTCGTACCTATACTGGCGAATATTTATTAATTTGTCAGATGATGGAGACTCTGGGGGCTAACCTTTTTAAGAAGGTCAATGATGACATTATCGCCTATGGTGATTTGCGATCTATGCCTTGGTCTGTCTTTGAGAAGATAGTTCAAAAGCATACCAACCCATCTACTAGAGTACTTAGTACCTCGAGCTTTACCCAGCGCGCTAAGCGTACCGCGATAGAGAATAACACTGCGCGTAATACTAAGAAACCTCGCACTACTGCTGGAGGTGGTAAAGGCTCTACTTCGACTGAACCAAAGGGTGAAAGGAAGGAGAGAGCACCTTGCAAGAAATGTGGTTACAACCTCACTAAACTTGATGGCAAGTGGAATGGTAAACACGACTCTGTTAAGTGTGCACCAGGCAAGCCAAACTTTGGACACTATATGAAAGAGTGTACTACTTGCAAGGGTACTAACAGTTGGCACAAAGATAATTGCAAGGACATACCGGACGTCCAAGTTAAGCACTGACAGTTCCATATGTGTGCACTAGAGCCAGATTATGAGATAAAGTTCAATAAAATCTATACCAAAGGAGATGAACGTATTTTTCAAACCGTTTATGTAAATGGAGAAAAAGATATAGCACTTTTGCTATCTCACGCCGAGTAGCCTACGCTACAGATATGGCTATCCATAACGGAACAACTAATTTAATCTTGGGAAATGGCAATGTTACCGCTTGCGAAGAAGCCATTGACTATGCAAACATAATGTTGTCAGATAAAAGAGAAGTAAAGACTCACCTAATCGTTACTGACATGTCTCAGAAATACGATATAATTATAAGTATGACTGATCTTCTCAGTTTAGGTATAACTCTCACTGGTCTGCCTAATGGGCTAGACCCAAATAAAGATCAGTCAGATGATAAAATGTTAAAGATACCTTAACCTCCGGAAGGTGAAGCAAAGGCTATGATTCCGCACTTTACCGATATAATTATGGACTTAATTATACAAAACAGAAAGATTGCAATAACTGACTGGTGTATGTTTAAGTTCTCTAACGGGTACGTTAAGCTTGACTTAACAAACGTCGACTTCTCCAAGTTAAAGTGTCCTTCACATAACTACGTGAGTTGGAGACACAAAGACGTTGTCAAAACCCAAATTGAAGATTAGTTAAAACATTGAAGATTGGTTAAAACAGAGTCTAATTGAAATCAGTTATGATGCAACCCCAGTTAACTTAGCTCTCTTAGCGGTCGATCAATATAAATCTGATGAAACGTTTAGTATAACAAGAGTAGTACTAGACCTGTCGCCAATCAACAAACTAATTCCGCAACATAGTTTCCCTTCCCAAAGATAAGCGAGATACTACGCAAAATGGAAGGTTCGACTATCTTTTCCAAGGTAGACTTAAAAGCTGCATTCCATCAATTACAAATATATGAGCCGCATAGGAAATACTTTTCCTTTACTTGGCAAGGTAAGAAGTACCAGTTTAAAGGTGCACCTGAAGGCTTACACATGATACCTTCTTTCTTCCAACAAGTTAAGATGTAACTATTTGCGGACCTGTCGGATAATGTATATTTAGATGAGATAGTTATCTTTACAAAGACAGAACATGAACAGGCTAAACTCGTTAAAGAAGTCTTAAAGCGACTAAACCATGCCAAACTTAATATTAACGAGGACAAGTTTTCTTTTGCTAAAGATACTACACACTTACTTGGTTACAAGGTATCTGCAGCAGGGGAAGAAATTGATCCCGACAAGAAACAATTTCTGTTGGATTTATCAACACCGATTACTGGAAGAGATGTGAACTCTGTGTGTGGGTTTGTTAACTTCTTCTCGGATTCGGTACCTCATCTTTCTCACTACTTAAAGCCTTTCAGTCACCTACGGCTGCACAAAGGACCTTTGGGAAAGCTTTGGACTAGGAAATGTGATGATACATTTAAGCAAGTCAAAAGTAAAGTAATGGACGCACCCATTATGCAATATCCTGTGGATGGCGTCCCATTCCAAGTAGCGACCGATGCTTCAGATCGAGCGGTAGGTGGAGTGCTTTACCAAACCATAAATGGTAAACCGCGCTCCATACAATTCTTTAGCAAGAGTTATATTAAGAGTCAACGGAATTACCCTACCGTTAAACAAGAGCTCCTTGCTATAGTTACTGCGCTAAGATAGTTTAAAGACTACCTTTATGGAAGTTACTTCACTGTCGCCTGTGATCAAAAGTCTTTAACATATTTAAAGGACATGAACCCTGATTCACAGTTGGTGAGCCGCTGGCATGACATTATTGCTAAGTTCTCTTTTAACAATACACACATACCAGGAATACATAATCATCTTCCTGGCATGCTCGCTCGACTTGTCCCTGACTACCAAAAAACAGTTAAAGATTTATTAGCAACCGATTGGATGCTTAATAAGAAATGATTTAACCTCGCTCAATCAAGATGGGTTCCATTTACTATTGATTTGATCGCCGCAGAACTTAACAAACAGGTTTCTGATTATAGGTTGTTGACTCATTCTAAAGGTGATGCCTTTCAGCGTGACTTATCAAAGCTTAATGCGTGGGCTAACCCACCTTGGCAACATATCGCACAGTTGTTAAATTATGTTAATATTACTAAATCTACCATTACGCTGTGTTGTCCCTTACGTAGCTCCGACCCATGGATACGTGATTTAACTAATATGATACAAGTCGAGCCTATCTATGTCGACCGTGAAACCGACACGTTCTTGTATCAGGGATCCTATTCTATTACGAACACATCTTGGAAACACACCATCGCTTGTCGCATCGGTCCTGCAGGTACCACTAAGTGGAAACCCTCAACCGAGTTCTTAGCTAAACTAGAGGAGTCTAAGAAGTTTGAAAAAAAGCTCAAGACTCGTACAACACATGCACCCAACAAGAATGCAGTCGAAGTAATGCCGATTGAGACGGCATTAGATCGTAAAAACATGGAACTAGCTAAGGCCATGCATCAAAGACTCAAAGCTCTAAGAGAACCTGAAGCTCACACTCAACTACTTAAAGCGCTGCTTAAAGAACAGCCAGGAGTTGCGAAACAACTGAAGAAGATACTTCAACATTCTAATGTTGTTAATTAAGTATCTAAAGAGTCTACCCCTTCTGATACTGAAGGTGCCCTATCTAACGGGACTATGGTTCATCCAGCCAGCGTTACACAGAATCTGACTGACTTAGAAGAGCTCAAGAGTAGAGTTAAAACAATACTTAATTTAACTCATCGAGCATATGAGCATACTTATAAAATGGCTATCCGTGCAGGGCTTGATCACTCGGCGCTGAAAGAAACCATACGTGAAGTATATTGACGCTGCACTGATTGCGAAAAGAACCAGATGAAGCGCTACAGTTGGGCATCCCTAAAAAGTGTGACAGAAGACCAACCGATGCGCCGAGACATAGTCGATTTGGTTAAACTCCCGCGATCCAAGCATACTGGCAATGTATATATCTGTCATTTCTTATATGTGGCTTCGGGTTATAACTTGCTTTGTGCAATACCAAACAAACACCCGCAAACATTGGCAGAGTTATGCTATCACGTCTTTAATGACTTATAACGGTAGTGAGTTTTGTACCGACGTAATGGAGGCACTTGTACTCGTATCAGGCATGACCCATAGGCGTGGTGTTCCTTTTAAACCTCAAACGCAGGGTGAAAATGAGACACGTCATAGAGAACTAAAAAAGCTTCATTTGAAACGGGTTCAGACTCAAATGAATAACTGCATGAATCCTCAAACTGGAACACTCCCGTTTTACTATTTCTTTGGCCGCTATAGTAAATTACAAGCAACGTTTGACAAAACTGCGCCCGAGAAACACGTTACTCCGTGGCTACAAAAGATCGAGCATATGCAGAACGTTGTTTACCCCTGTTTACTCGAGCACAAGAATCGTGTCCTAGTGAAAGCGTATGACCGATGGAACAACACTAAGAACATTGTTCAGTTCAAAGTTGGCGATTATGTTAACATTATGAATCGCAATGCCAACGTTACCGAACTCTCTTCAAGACAATTATGCCTTTTGTTATTTCCTACCATGATGAGAAGAGTGATACTTACGAAGTGAATAACATAGATGGTACTAGCGCAACTAATCTAGGCACTCACCGTATTCCTACCCCCGAACTCTCATTCGCTCGCTCATTTGATTCTGACGTCCCAGTTATGGAGTCACAAGTCAAAGATATAATTGAAAAAACATCCGAAAACCCGTTTTATGGATGAGACAGTAGCTTGGCTGACCTCCGATGCGTTTCGTGAATCTCGCGACTTCAATCATATTTTCAATAAGAAATGGAATAAGCGTTTACCAAAGAATACACAAGATAAACGGAAAGGGTTTCCTCAGGTGACTACAAACCCGGATGGATCTAAAATTCCCTATTTGCCACCTACTTCCTATGTGACTAAACTTTCTGATCTGCTTACCAACAGAGCAGAAAATTCTTCGAACTTACTTACTAATGAAGACCAACCTTTTTCTATTACCTTACCAAGTAATAAACGCAAGGCGCCTACATCGTAAATGGTTACTGGACCAAATACTAAACAACATAGAGTACAACATGAGTCTTGAACTCGTACATATAGGCACAAATTTACTCGATAAGCCATGACCGAAACCGTTTTACTTTGGTTTTCGCTTTACGAACTAGATCGTATCTTTACGTACGCCCGTAGTCCTAAAAGCTACTGGGGGCTATGTAAAAATACGTCCTCCGGTCAGTCTAAAATATCAAGATTAAATGAGATAACACATTGGTTTTTATTTGTATTTAAAAAAAAAAATACAATTTTTTTCTCTCCGATATTTCCAAAGTGTTCTAAAATCACTTTGATGGCTCCAATAGCCTGGGTGTTTGGTATGACTCGTTTACTTGGACCTATTTGAGAAGATAGTAGATGCAGGATAATATAAACTAAATTTTTCAATCTCTGAACTACTAATTACAGGTTTTGGTCTTCCAGCCAATCTCCAAAATCCAGTAAGTCTTTTCTTTTTTTATAACTTTTCTTCATATGGAACTTTATTTATATTAGCTAATGTATTAACTTGACTTATGTTCTTATGTCCATATCTACAAATTAGAAATGTGGTCATGAACACTTAGTACTTCTAGTGAAAATTATTTAAAAGAAAACAGCTAGAGATACGTCCTGTGTGATCGAAGATATTAAGGCTCTTACCAAGATGCAGTCCCGATCATTCTTACACAAGCTACCACTACTAAATCCTTTCTGACTTAAATTGTATCTTAGTTTATATAACATAGTTTCAAACATAGAAATATACATTGAAGTTTACACAAGGAGTTTACGGATTATGCTGTGGGTAAAGGTTCGAGAGTTCGGTATGTGTCGAAGGGGGACACGAATGAAATGGTAGAATTGAGGTCTTTCTGCGGAGTACTAAGGGGTGGCTGAAACGAAATTTGGAGGTTGGTTTAATGCATGAATGGAGACATGCTATTCCAGGCGTACGCCAGTTGGTTATTCCACGACTCACCTTTTGCAGATGCACCCCACGAGTAGGAACAAGAAATAGTTGCAGCGAAGCACACGATGCCAGTGGCTATCCAATTTATGAATCGAAGTAACTGCCATTTTGGTTTCTTCAGGAAATTAGCCAACAAGCACGGACATAAAACGGCGGATACATTTAGGCCTGAAGATGAACAGTTTTACAACAACACGTCTAAGGCTACAAAAAAAAAAGCTCGAGACAGACTTTCGACGATTAAACTGGCATACCGATTTGCCGAGTCACGAGTGCTCCAGGAAGAAAATCCTGCCGACTGGAAAGTAAAGTTGGCGGCGTCACAAATGTCAACATCAGCGGTAGATGCGTAGAGCAGGTTACCCCACACATGGCCGATGAGATTTGCAATCTCTGCCAGAAAACATGGTCAAATCTGGGGGGTTGTATTACCGTGGTCTAGGTGGGACACACTTGGCCCTAGTTCGATCAGGATCGGACAGGGCCATACGACAATAGTGACCAATAGGACTAGCTAGGGGATGGTTTATGATTGGCCAATTATAATATATCCATTGGTCAATAGTTAAGGGGAATACCCACATGGAGGATTACTATATTGAAGTGAACCATTAGCTATGAAGCTAATGGGTTGGACCAGGACGAGGATCATTTGTACACTTGACAGCCTCGGAGCGTTGAAGCTAAATATCTAGTTTAGTAAGGGCCGGTTCTAACGGTTCAAGTTTTGCTTTCAAGTTTCAACACATTGAAGGCAAATGAGAGTAAATTTACGGTCTCAAAACCCAATGTAGGGGCCGGGCTTTTTGACCGAACCTGTTTGTAAATCCCATTAACGTAAAATTTGGAAGGAGTTAATATTAGCCCGCCATAAATCAAAATGCTGAAGAAAGCAAGAAACTGAGAGTGCTATATTTAACACTCCATCCATAGACTAAGGGGACTCGATTTTAAAGAACGAAACCTAATTTACTATATCCGGTTTTGGATATAATCCCAATTTATTTTTCTAGACTTTTTCTAAAATCATTTCAAAGTAATTTTGCGAAGGAGCCAAGTTGATGGCTCCACCGGTTCATACAGTTATGTATCGATTTATGAACAGGATTGTGCACTTTTCGACCATGTCAAATCGTAGATTTTCAGGTCGAGTATTAGCAGTTTGAACCTTTTAAGGGTTCTAATATATAATAAATACAAATATTATTAGATCAGAAATCATCTTTATGGTATAGAAGGCTTATTATGCTTGCTCAAAATCACCATTTACGTGCATGCGTGCCCATCAATGACATCCATTTGGTGTGCATATTCAATTATATGTCTTCAATATGATTTTCAGACCTTCGTTATATCTATATAAGCATAATTAAACCATAATAATGTTATTGTAATCGCTTGTAGGTGAATAAGTAGTGGATTTTGGCAAAAAGTTCAGGAAATGAGATTCGTCGTGCAATCGATGGCGTGGCACGTCAAATGACGTAAACACACTTTTTCTCGATTTTAACAGCTGTAGCTTGCATTACGGTTATAAGAATGCATAAACGATATTGTTTTGAAAATAATTGTACGTGACAACTTTGAAACATTACTAATTCTGCATATCTAGACCCAATAATCGCGTTTTGGAGGTTTCCGATGTAGTGTTAGACTCCTAAGCATAGAAGGTGTTCTACTTGTACTACGACCTTGGCGCCTTCACAGATCTTTTACGAAATACTTAATCTTGAAATATGCCAAAAAAATATTGGGAATAAGTTGAAGTCCAGATATAGTAAATCAGGAACGCTTCTTTATTTTGGGCCCTATTTTATCCCCTGAGTACATGGATGGGGTGTTAAAAAAAAAGACTTTCTAATAATTTATTTGATTGGTCTGCTTGATTTCACCTTTGGGGTCGAAGGTACGTATATTCAGTGAAAATTTGAATTTAAGTTAAACCGTACAAGGTTGAAAGTTGAACGCAACTCAAATAAGTCCCGGCTTTGAAGGCCCGACTTATTTGATTGTGTTCAACCTTTAACTTTTGAATCGATTCTATTGGCTAACGTGTTTTGAGACTTGAATATTTCGAAACTTGAACGCAAAGCTTGAAACGTTAGAACCGGCCCTTAAATAAAGTGAAGTGTACCCTCTAGAATATACACGAACTACAGTTTTTATATTTTTACACCCGTGATGCATCAATCGTCATGCGTATTTATTACATACAGTATGTGTGTCATCAAATCATAGTTTTTTAAAATAAAAAAAGACCCATTTATTTCATAGATGGCAGCTAAATAAATACAGTATTTACGTGCATATAGATTATAGTATCACCAACTGAGGTTCAATTTATTAGAAGGCCATGCAACTTATTACTTAAATATTTAGTGTGCGTAAACTTTAATATTTAGTGTGCGTAATTTATATAGCACCATACTTAGTCCTACTTGGTCTATATTATAATAAATAGTGCAAATCAGTTCTTAGAACAGGAGGGCTAACTATAGCACTTTAAAATATGAGCAGTAGGCGAGATCAATATAAAGATGCACAAAAACATGGTGGGGATATTGATGGGTCACGCAGACGACAAAGAGAAGCAGCTACGAGTCTCCGGAAAGATAAGAGGCACGCACAGCTGGCACGGAAGCGTATGCGCGATGTGTTGAATTTAGGTGGAAATATTGAGAAGAGGGACTCGGTCAGTGATATCGATATTCCACAATTGGTGAAACATATGAGCCAATTCAATAGTACAGAAGAGTGTTTAAATGCTGTTCGGCAATTAAGAGAATCAACTGGAGTGAACCAAAATATAATAGATAGTTTGTTGCAATGCGAAGGTGCTGTGGACACTCTGAGACAACTTCTAGCGGTCAGCAATTCTTCGATTCAACTCGAAGGTGAGTTTGTGGTATAATATATATATA